CAGACCGACAAGGCATACTCTTAAGTGACTTGTGATTGAGGAAATGAAGTAGGACTTAAATGACACTTTCGGCACACACACCACGACACATAGTCATAAATACACACACACGCACTCACACTCATGCACACACACATGAACAAATATGCACATACGCACACACACACACATGCACACACATGCGCGCGCGCACACACACACACACACTCACACACAAACACACACACATACATGCACCCCCCCTCCACACAAATATACTCACACACATACACACGCGCACGCGGCTGTACTAAGATATGAACTGCGCAGTTTAATAAATTGTATTAAGATTTCTTTGGCTGATGAAATGCTTTTTACTTAAACCTGGATAACATGATTAACTGATATTAGACCCCCCCCCTCCGGCCCCTCCTCTTACTTTTGCTTTCTTACTTTACCTTTTCTTCATTAACTTTTATTTTTTCTTTCTGTCACCTTGAATCGCAGGAAGGTGTCGAGGGGCAATAATAGTCGGACATGGGCCAGGCGTGTTGCTTTTTGGATCAGCATAATAATATTGTGTCTTCGTTTTTTTTAAGGTACAAAAATAAAACAAAACAGTGACTCCTTCGCCGTGGGTGTATGAGTTTAAGTAAGAGTTCTACGGCATTTGCAACACAAATGGGTCTCATACGCACCGAATATTAGAGATGTTACTTAAGAGTAACACTCATTTTACAAAGAAAAGCGAGTGGAGAGATGTCAAGGAAAATAGATGTTGAAAAGAAAAAGAAGGATCAAACCCCACCATGGCACCTGCCAACCACCCACATCTATGGCTGTTTCAGGCTGGTGTTTGTGCCGAAAGCCTTCGTTATCATGTTACGTGGGTTACTCAATAATTCTTGCCCCACGTCTGTAGGTGGGAGTGGTGATTTGATGTAACGGGACGGCCCCAAATAAAAACATCCTCTTTCTTCACCATATCTAAGTCAGGTTATACACAACTAATAGCTGTTAGTGTGTTGGCAAATTTAAGCGCTCCAGACATACATTTGGTGACATTTGACAAAATGCGTGCCAGCTGCAGCTAGCTACCATAGACAATGGCGGGTCATAATTATTCGTTAATCTGAGTGTCAGAGATGTCGCCTCTTGGTATTCCAGGTAGTGTTGTTAAAACTAAAAGTTAGCCCTCTATTGGGAACTCATGCGCACATACAGGGTCTCAAAATGTGTGTGTGTGGGGGTGGGT